TCCGCAATGGATGTGGATAAAGAGGGGAGTAAGGGCGATGAGAAGAAGACCAAAGCGGCCAAGGAGGCTGCAGTAGCGTCAAAGAGCGCAAAGCCGCATCCGGCGAAAGCGTCACGTCCTGAGGCCCTAAGCGGCTTGTTGGATGTGACGCTGATCAGCGATGTACGGGAGCGTGATCGGGATATTTCCGATGACGAGTATTCCCCTACGAATGTGCGCATGTTTCCGGAATCATGGGAGGGCGTAATGCCGACCTCCGTAACTGAGAAGGCCGGAGGCTTTGAGCAGTTCAGAAACGAGCTCATGAGGATCCAGAGAATCCTGGATTCTCCGGCGTTGGTTGACCTTGGTAAGGTCGATCTGGACGCTCTGGGCGAACCGCCCAGGGAGTACGTCTCGGATGAGGACCACGAGAGTCACGTAGATGATGATGGGATGGGCCCATATGTGGACAAGTTCTCATCAATGGGCGACCGCGACCTAGTGCCCTCAAAGCAGGAGCCGCCTTACTATGAGGCAAAGGCGTGGCGTACCACTGAAGAAGAAATTGAAAGGATGAAGAGCCTTTTTCCATACTTTCGTGCCGAAAATTATCGGCTTATGTCGGCGGGGACTGGTCCCATAGGTACCAAAGCGCACGTACAGGGCGTCCTCCCTGCTGGTGCGTCGCTAGAGGAGGCACTGATGGCAAAGCCCGATGTGTGCCCGATTGCGAGCAACTACAACCTCACATACGAGGGTGAAGAGGTTGTGTTTGATGCACAGAGCGGGACAGCAGGCAGAATCGCCTGTCCTGCCGGTAACGACATCTTCCATTTTTTCCCCGAAATTAGGGATGTGTCGGCGATGGTTGGACGAAGCTCCAGAGAGTCGCAAATGCTGTTAGAAATTTTGTCGGGCAACACTGACCCAACGCGGTTGAACGTGAAGCCCGGTGAGCCGGCTCCCTTCTTGTGTGGGACGGTTCCAGACATTCTGGGAGGTTGGATGTCAATGACTCTAATCTCAACGCTTTTTGAGGCCCTATACGGGATCCATAAGTGCACGAGCGTCGAGGTGGCGACCTGGGCGGGTTCTCTTGCGAAGGAGAACCCAGCGTACCCTCCAGTCGAGCTCCTAATACGGACAGTCTGGAGGGGAGATGGCACGACTGTGCGCCCGAATGAGGTACTTTTTGCACGTTCCACCCTAATCGGGAGGGACGTGCCGTTCAAAGTTTTCAAGCGTTGGGCACTGCGTGACCGAACGCCTATGGGGCCTTTGCTTAGGCCGATGGGAGCAGCGGAGGTCCCTTATACGGGATACGTGCTGCTGACGATGGCCGAGTATCGGTCCGCCCTCAAAACGAGGTGCATCCGGAGGCCCGGCAAATTCGCCATCACAGTTTTCCCCATGCGACCTGAGCAGGTCTGCAGGGGGGAGATCACGATTGGGTTGGAGGGCGCAAAGGTGCCTCTCCTCAAGTTGCCAAGCCCCAATAATGAGGGCGAATTTTATGTTGACGACCGCGTCAAATACATGGACAAGCGCCATGTCGTTGTGGCCGTTGACCTGAAGTGGATGGCCATCGAGGAAGCCGCCGGCATCTACAAAACCCGACGCGGTTTGATTGCCGTGCGAGAGGAGATACATGCGCCCTTCTGGCGCGCATGCTATCTGCACCAGGAAGGGGATGTAATATACATCCGTCCCTGGGCGGTCCGTGAGTTGAATGTTCAGGGACCGCGGAGAGGGGTGTCATTTTCATGGGACAAAGCTCCCATGCATGACTACTGGTGCCCTCGGTGCGCGCATTTGAACATGTATGGCACCATTCTATGCAATGGTTGTCATTTGCCGATTTTCTATCGAGAGTGGGTGCCAGGCACCATCCGCTCCCAAGTTAGGAGAGGGCAACCAGTCTGGTTGGACGGAATCAAGGCAGTCCGTGCCAGCAGCTGGTATGAAGGGGAGACCGACGTGTGGGCCCCTCTCATGGCATCGGTAAACCCGATCCGCGAGGTGGTCAGCTGTATGATCTCCGGTTTGCGCTGTGCGCCGCACCTTGTGCACAATCCCAATGCGGATGTCGTGCAAGTTGCGTTTCAGGAGGTTGCAAAGGTCACCTCAAAGGACACTCACGCTTGTGTGCGTGCGAGTGATGAGGCTCTCGAGCGGTGGGTAGCGAAACAGCTGCTCATCGAAGAGAGCAATACTGGCGTCCCAATTCCCGACAATATGTCTGTCATGACATATTGGGGTCGTCATATGACGAGAAAGGGCAGTCTAAATTCAGCATTTGCCCTTTACCTCTCTGTGCATATTTATGATGCCTACCGCATCGGAATCGAGGACGGATATTTGGTTCCGCTGTATGGCCTAGGCGCCTCACGCGCGGACATCATAATGTCATTGGTGCAGGCTGAGCGACGCCTCGCGGACTTCAATAGTGAGGACCCAAGTTTTGATCCCTCCACAGTTCTTGATTTGAGTATCGACTTTCTGCGGGGCAGTGGTGGATCCATCACGGCCCCGATTGAGTATGCTGAGGCATACATTTATGTCGAAGACAACAAGGTTGACATGGTCCCAGCTGCACAGCGGGACGGCCAATGCGCCATTGTTTTTGCTGACCCGCCGACTGGGAAGCACCACAGGCGGGCAGCCACTCCTAGGGGAGATCATCGGTCTGCTACCCCGCGACCTGAATCCAGGTCAAAGGGGGATCAGCAAAAGGGCAAAGCCCCTGCGCAGTCCTGGCCCAAGGGTGGAGGTCACAAGGGTGACCAGTTTCCAGGAAAGGGTCACAAGGGTGATCAGTACAAAGGCAAGGGTGGCCAATACGGCTACCAACAAGGGCAGTTCGGTCGTGGCGGATCCGCCAGATCGAGAACGCCCACTGGCGGGTATCAGCCTGATGCTCGCGGGTCGGGATACAAGGGTGCACAGGCTGCCCCTTACCCGTTCCCGAGTCCGATGTATCCCACTTTCCCTATGGGAGGATACATGCAACAGCCTATGGCTGGCATGATGCCACAAATGTGGCCTGGCGCAATGCCGCAGGGTTGGCAGCCGCATATGTGTTGTGATCCCCGCGAGCTCGAGAATCCGAACTCGCCGCATACCCCTACATGGGGTGACGGTGACGAGTTGGCCGAGACTGTGCCTCCTCCCCCTGGGGACTGGAATGTCAACAAGGGGAAGGGGCGGCACGGCGGTGGACGACATCGGTGATACCTGAAGTCTGTCCGTGCGTTTTGCATGGCTGCGCCAACGCGCGCATGCTTTCATTCCGGAATTCACAAAATGGACTATGCTCCTTGTAGTATTTCTTTGTCTGGGCTATTCGCAATTTCAGAATTCATCTGCATGTGTGGCTGTGCGCTATTCGCGCAAGCTGCGATTACCTGTCAGGTGTGCGTCGCCACAGCAAGGCAGTCACCCTCGGCGGCGTCTATGGCCGCTGGTGATCTGCATCCTCCTGCACCGCTGCTGCTGCTGGTGATGGAGCTCATCAAGGTGCTGGGGTGAGGATCACGGATGCCCCGCACCGCTGCCGGTGAGGTCCTACTCGGACCTGAACCGCCGAATGCCGCTGGCGGTATCCCTGGAGGTTGTTTTCGAGTGATCGCGCGCCTAGACGGTGCCGTTCAAGGCCGAGATATTTCGGTCTTTGCACCACGTTTCAACCAGCAAGCCAATGCGCTTTTGACTATATAATTCAAGCCCTAAATCCACGTGAATCTAATGATTCAATGTGGTTGCATCGCATATATTTCATGCCTGCCATCTTGGAGTTGAATCTTTGTTTCTGTTTCGTTTTGCTTTCTCTTGTTTGATTTGGCTACCGGCGAGAATCCGCCCCATACCCGTAATTCGGGGTGGTGGCGGGATCCGGGCTCCAATGCGAGCCCGGGTGTGGGGTCGTGAACCCTGGTAGCCTAATCTCCTGCTTTTCCTTGTTTGTTGCTACTCAACTTCAACATGGCCAATGCGCCTTTCCAAATTCACTCCTTCTCTTTGTACAGGCGAGGGGGGTGTTTTTGGGGGCATGTACTTTTATCGCAACATGTTTAATTTCATGCCAATGCCCAACGCGGCATTTGGCTCAAGCTTTTTGTTCCGGCAACCCTGCTTGCAATCACGTCGGCGCCTCAACACGGCGACCTGGAGCTCTGCAGCAAAAGGCGCTGCGGCCCTCTCTGGTTGGTGTTGGTGTTGCTGGTGGTTGGTCAGGACTTGGGATTGGGAACGGTGCGCAATTGGTTTGCTTTGCTTGCTTCGCTGCATTGTTTGCCTGCTTGGTTTGCTGCTTTGTGCTTGCTTTCGGTTGTCTCTGCCCTTGCTGGGTTCATTCATCATTTGGTTAAAGGCACCCTTTTGGTTCGTGTTTGTGCCGGCCGAGGGCACCCGCTTTGCCCTTGGGACCGGGGGGATAAGGTGTCTCTTCTTGTTGGTGGGTTAGGGCCTGTTTTATCCATCCCGAAACTCTGTTTCAAACCCTTTCGCAGTCTTAAAGGCTTGCCCCCCAGTCCAGGTTGGTGACTTTTTCATGACTCACCCATGTTTTGTTTGTTGGGTACCCCCCGTTCCATGGTATTGGGCTGAAAGGGAGGGGGTCCCTGCCGTTCTGAGACATCCTTCGGGTTTGGCCGCCGGGGGCTTGGGCGACTTACTGCTTGGATTCGACCCGTGAAAACAGGGAACAGAACACCACAGGCCACCATATCAGAGGTTCAGTTGCCATGGGCGTACCAGGACCTAAATCATTTGACCAGGGTTGCGGGGCATGATGCACTTTAAAACCACATTTAGTCATGAACATACAAGACAGCTATCAGTTATTTAGGGCCTTGTATTGGTTTTGCACCTGGGGTGCTCCAAACAATAAATTTTGTCAGGTAGACTGAACATCAACAATATTCCGAACATGCGTATCAATTTCTGTGTACCCTGCATGTGGGCCCGGGTACTGCACAGCATTCTTGCCACGGCCCTGGTCTTTCGCTGGATGGCCTCAGGAGTATATCTCCACTAGATGGTACCGAGCTCCTGAGCCTCTTGGGCAAAAGAAAAGGAGTGCCCCTTCTGGGTCTATTTGGGAAAATAAATGGCACAATTCCCGGTACATGTGGGTAAGTAAAGTGGATGACTGAGCCAAAACGAGGGAATTGTGTTATCTACTTTCACCCGAATGCAAATGATGTCCACAAAAATAAGGCCCCAAATAACACCCATTTTTAAAGGGGCTGGATACTTAAGGACAAACTCAGCTGCGCACCAGTTGGTAGGCGGCTTATCCCATATTTGTAGGGTTTCACGCCTCCAAAGATTTTGTCCATCAACAGTATATAGCTACTTCAAGGGGGCAGGGTGCGTTAGGTGAGTTGCTAAGAACCATGGATAGAACCTACTTGCCACAGTGAGATGTAAGTCCTCTAAAGGGCGTTGGGTTATAAGCAAGGTTACTACTCTGGTTGAGGGATATTGTCCAAGTTTGTGAAGGGCGCACAGTTTACGCAGTGCTTCCGCGAGCGCGCTTCTAAGCACTGGAATGCCACATTGCAGTCAGCAGCATGATTCTGGCACCCAAAAAGCTACTTGGTTCATCTTAACAGGCGCTGAAGGTTAAAAGAGAAATGGAAGGACATCAACCATTTTGCGAGTTTCCCTATTGTGAGACAAACCCATATCTGGCTTAAAGACTTAAGGCAATCTGCAAGACTTCAAGTTTGGATTTGCATCTAAGAAGGCCCTGAGCCACATCTCCTGGCAAGTGCTGCGAAGCTTATCACAGCTGGAGCAAGAGAAACCCGATAACATTAAGCATGCCCAAAGCCGACCCTCTACAGTAAGCTGTTGGTTTGCCAATCATTGACGTGTGTGTGTCAAAAGAGGCGGACCCCAAAAAAGTGGCTTTCCCTTTGGTTTGCCTCTACACGAACCGGATAAGAGTACTTTCGAGAAAACACACCCAACATAGGGCTCCTAAATAGAATCCGTGGAACCCTTCGAGGCTGCTGGGATTAATGCGATGAAGGGTTCAGCTGCCAACGGCTGTGGCGTAGATTGAAAGCGGATGGCTTGGAATCAACCGGGGACGAACCACCAACACCTTGCAACATGGTTGTGGACAACTTGGTTTTAGGACGGTGCGATAGCCCTTGGCAGGTGCTGGAAGTAAACTAGCCCCCACCCAAAACTGCCCTCTCCCACAACCCCGTCGTGAAGTTGGAGAAGCACAAACACAACTAAGACGTCCGACATCATCTAGTCCTAAAGATATATGTGGGGTTGTCTTTGTTTGGGACCTCCCCTTGTTTGATTGGATTTAAAGAGGCGTTAAGGGGGCGGAATCAACAAAAGCATGGCATCGCATTTGTCCCTGTCTGGTAAGTGAGTTGGGGACTGTCTTCACTCCGGCAGGATGTTTGGCAATTGCAAGGGTGTGAACCGCTCTTTGTTTGTCGGGCAGGAGAATGCGGTGTGACCCCCAAATGCCGCAGTACAAACCAGGGCCCCCCCCGAAGTCCGGTTTAGAAACTATGTCAGGGTTGCTCCGACCCTCAAAGTGAATCTGAAAGCGTTCCATGCCCCAAGGTGCTTGCTGACAGATGGCTACTATGGCTTCAAGATGGACCTCTTTGCCGCAGGCCTGCGATAGCCAGGGGAAATCGTGCAACCATGCTGAAGCCTGGGATCCAAAGAACTCAGGGCTGAACTCAGGGCTGGAACAAGTCATGCGAAGGAACCCCAAGAAAAGGGCGGTTTTCCTTCCGCTTCCCTCCACTGCCTCAGAGAGGGTGCCCTTTGAGGGCTGTGGCATGTCCAAATATGGGTTCTTTCCATTGAGCCGCTTGTGGAGCTTTGGCGCCCTTCTGGGTACGTAACAAATCTAACAGGCAAAACATGTTGGAGTTTTAGGTTTAAGATTGGACTATGACTAAGTTTGAGAGACATACATTGTTCGTGTTGAGTCGCACCATCCTTCCATTGACTTCGACGTATTTCTGCTTTGTCCGTCTTAGGTTCAAAGGGCAATGCTCGCCACAGTTGTTAAGTCTATGTTGTTTGGGTTCGAAGTGACTACAAGTCATCAGTTATGCGACAAAGGGATCCAACAGGGATGGGCTTTTGTTGATTTTGCCACACTGCTCATTTGCCACCTGTTTATGTTTGGGTTGCAACTCGATCAATCAAAGCTAAATTGATGAGCACGTGTGTGAGTGCCACAGTGGATTTCCATGGGTTTATAGACGTATATCCCTTTCTCATCTTTTCTCGGGTCCCTTCTTTCAGGTTGCAGAATTGCGGACCATCTCACCCCGCCAACATTTCTTGTGGTGGTCTCAAGCAACACCCTGTCAGTGGGTGTTTGGAGTGAGTCAAGCACCTCGAGCTCGCAGGCTGCGTGTGGTTTGAGATCGTGGCGTTGCTCCCAGGCAGCATTTCGAAACCCGGCAGGTCCCCTGAGTGCCCGCTTCAAAGTTGCTCCCTAAGGGTTTTCCAGGACACTGATGCGCCAATTCGGGAAGATGAGCCTCAACCAGGTCTCGATCGGTTGTACAGTACACAAAGACATGTGTAGCATCTGAAAGGACCGCTAAACAGGGCAACGAGTTTGCGCTTGTGCACTAGCAAGAGAGGGGGTGGGCATTTGCTTCCCCTGTGGAAAGTGGAAATATCCACTCCTATCAGTAGATTTGCACATACCGTTGATAGGGCCGAGCCATCGCCGAAGTCATCAGCCATTCACCTCCACCGGCGGGCCGTAGCCGAGATGTTTGGTTGACGAAAGGTAGTAAGACCGCCAGTTTTGTTGGGGCGGTTCGATGTTTTCCTATTTTAAGACACACATTTCGTGACGTTTGTTTCTTTTGGGGGGTCCACATCCCATGTTGAACAAAGCTTTTCCTTTGTTTGGGGATCCGCACCGTACTCCCCTTCTCAAAAGAGGAGATTCCACCAAGAACATATTATCGGTTTTCGGGTTTCTTGAAGGATGAGTTGGCCGAGGTTTCTTGATATCAAGAAACAACAGGTTACGTTAACATATTGGGGTTTTCCGCCTCCCCCTGTTCTGAGTCATACCCGATTTGTTTCAGGTTTAGCCTTACCGACACCGCCGGCACCTGGAGCCGAGGTTTCCGCTCTTCCCGGGGCAAAACGAGATGGACCAAATCCAGAAGATCCACAACGTGTTGGGCACCCCCTCCCCCGAACTCCTGGCGAGCAAGTTCAAGAGGACTGGCCCGAAGAGGGATTGGGTGGGCGGGGGGGTTTTTGAGGATACACTTTTCAAACTTTGCAGGTTGGTTTAAAGGGAGACCATAAGTCCCCCAGTTTGTGAGAGGGGGGGGTGAGGGCGGGGGTGAGAGGCTTCAAGTAGAAAAGAAGTGGGGTAGGGGATGGGATGGGATGTGAATCGGATGTTGGATACACGGGTTTTCAAGTGGGTTCTATAAGAGCCTAAACAACCAAAATGGGGTTGTGGGGTACTTTCTGGGTAAATTAAGCGACGATGATGAGAGCAATCACGCGCCTAAATAATTGGCAACTTGGGCTGAAACAACCGACATTGGGACTCTTTGAAAGACAACATGTTAGTTTGATTCAGCAAGTGTTCTTTGAACGTGTGGGTCTGGGTATGTGTCAAAATAGGGACCCCTACAATGGTGGTGTTCCTTTTGATTTTCCTTTAAGCCAGTCTTCGAAAAGGCACCCTCAAACAACACACACTCACATGTCTTCAAATGGGTTTTCCGCTTCCTTTCTACACAAACCCAGCGAAAAGTTGGCAGGATTCTTCATGCGTTTTAGTCAAGGCAGCCCCAAAGGCGAGTCTCTCTTCCTGACGGTAAACTCAGCTCAAAATGGTGGGGGGGGGTGGGCTCAAAATGGTTTTCTTTTGTTCCGGTCATGAATCTTGGATGTGAGTTTGTCCCCAAATTGGAAATGACGCCTCCAACACATGTGATTTCCCCTTGGTTTCAGAGTATGCTGATTGTTTTCAGTGTCACCCCATCACAACCTTGTGCTTGTTTGATCATGACGGTTTCCTTTGCAAAAAGCACAGAGGCAAAACCAGGTTGTTGATTTTGCAACGGCCCAAGCACATGCCCCAGCTACATGCCCCAGCCTCAAATACAGAATAATAGTACATACATGTTGTATAAACAGCTTGAACAGGGGATACCAGGCAAGGAACATCAGAATGCAACCCTTGCATCCCTTGTCAGTTGGTTGGTTTTGCCCCCCAGTTCGGCGCGTTAGTAAGATATTCCCAGATAAATCGTGTACAACCAATTTTAATGCGATACCAGGTCGGAAAAGCAGGCGGTTGGGAATGCAGCCCTTGCAGGAACGCCTCCCACATGGATTTCAACTTTCCAGAGAAGAAGGGCACCGGCATCGAGCGGCTGATCCCGCATGCTGAGCCCGAGTGTGTGGAGCTAATGCAAAAGCTCCTGAAGACACTCGGCGCATCCACAGGTTCCTTCAAACCGAGCAGCGCCCAAAGCCCTCACGGGCCAGTTAGTAGGGATTGTGGTGAGGCCTATATCAACCAGTATGGCAATGTTAGTAGAACCAAAAGTCAATGCGTCTGACAGGCTGCTCGCATGGAACGGGGGCAGAGCATGATGCCTGGAGTTCTCCATGTATAGGTCGATGGTCCCTTTTGTGGGGAAGACTAACTCTTGGAGTTGGGGTGCCCCAACGCATATCCCATTGGTGAAAGGGGGATGTCGGCGCATGGCTAAAGAGAGACAAACTCGGGCCCGTTTTGAACCCTTCTAGCACAAAGTTTCTTCGCGGGACAGTTTTGAGGGCCTTTGGTTCCTCGCTTGCAGCTGAGGTAGTCTGATGAAGGTCGATCTACCAGGGGGTTACTTACTGTAATTCAGGTTGGTGTCTTCTAGTCATTCTGCCGTATCCAAGACCGCACGCTTTCAAGGTGTCATTGGATGTTTTTGTTGACCGGTGGTTGCTTAGACTCCTGTTTGATTTGAAGTAGCAAGAATCAGTGACTTAGTGAGGTGTAGGCCTGTCTCCAAATTAGAACACCTGGAAAACCAGCCAGCTAGAAAGGGGGGCAACTAGTCCAGGTGGTTGAAGTACGGTTCAAGCGCTGAAAGTATACGTCCCTGTTTGAGCCCGTGGACATGTTGGGCTCTTTGGTGGCTGCTATCCCAGAAAAAAGCCTTGATTCAATTTAAGTCAAATGCTAAACCAGGGATTCATCTGGAGCATATGTTGAGCCTCGGGATTCCTTACGGTATCCATACCATACTTGAGTCAGAATGCCCTTAATGATTTTCGTAGTTCAGGTTGGTGAAGTTATTTACCTCGGCTGAATGTTTACGCATATACGAACGCGCATGAAGTCCCGATAAATGGCTGATCACCTTCGTTGGGATTTAGTTGTTGGACACCGGCCAGTTCATAAAGGGGTTGGTGGTGTAACAAGGCTTTGAGTTCAGGTACGATCCGGACGACCGGATCCTTGCACGGCAAGCGCTGCGGGACCCCTACTTCCGCGAGCTCCATGAGATGAAGAAGGAGGCAACGCATGCGCCGCTGGGGCGGCTTTTGGTTCCTTGCAACGGGCAAACAATCGGAAGCCGACGGTTTTTGAGGGTCCCCTATGTTTGAGACAACCCTCGTGTTTCTTCAAAGACGGAGTTGAAGTTGGAAGATTGTGTTTTGGAAAAGCGCTTCAACAGAGAGTTTCCTCTGGTCAATGAGTTTTGTGCATTTGCTAACAGGGACCCCCAATCAAAGCACCTTGTGCGAGGCATCTGGGGACAATTAGTGGAGTTGGAAGGGTTCAGCAGTGAGACATGAGCGAATTGTAGCGACCGCCAATGCGGTCTGGAAATTCCTGCAGCGGCTGCAATGCCAGACCACCTCTTGAAAGGACGACACAATTGGACATGTGAATCGGTTCCGGCTGGCACAGTGGAACGGAATTCTCGAAGCCCTTTTCATCCTGCATGAGGCGTGCTTGCAAAGGCGATGCAATCTTTTTTGCTTGCCCCCCAAGGTGACCCGCGTTGCAAGTGGAAACTATGGGCACTGGCCCAAATTGGGACATGTGACTTTGAACAGTTTGAGAGGGTTGCTCTGAACCCTCGGCGTGCCGTTCTTAATGTTAATCCCCCATGACTATGAACTTTTCGGTAACCTTGTTGCACATGTTCTGCAGAGAAGGATCACTGAAAAGATGGGGAAGTACACCTGGAACATTGATGCACCACCACAGGGAACCCTCATGAAAGGAAACTTCATCGCTGTTTTATAGCAACGGATTTTAGGGCAATTTTATGTGTTACCTGTGATAGCCGCTTGACAGTCAGTTCTCGCAATCTTGGGGATCAACCACTTCGCTACTTCCAGCAGTGGGCCAAGTTGAGCCGCTTGCATCCCTCGCCCTGCGCTTCGCAACCTGCGCCGCCTTGCCCCTGCCAGATCGCGCAAGCGCAGGGAATGCTGGGCGCCGGGCGCAGCCGGGAGCAGTGGCACTTTGGGCTCCATTCAGCATCCCGTTCTTCATTGCCAGACTCAACTTACCGTTCTTGGGTGCTATTTGGATCTTCCACAGCTAAGCTTCATCGCCACACAGCTTGTTAACCCTTTACCCCTTTTGACCTACAGTAACCAGCAAACAAGGAGCCTGTTTTTGTTTGGCCAAGATTTGAACGGGCGATCGGGTAGATCAGTTGTGAGTAACTCGAGTTATGATTCATGGGACGTAGAATCATAGCTTTGGTGGGTTGCCATGGTACCACTTGCTCAGTACCCTGCCGCTGGCGCCAAGCAAGACACACAAGCAGACCAGTTGGATGGCAGTCCGGCCCAAAGTCGCGTTTTCGCTTTGGGTAAGCCATTCAAGAACCCTACGGAGTGGGCTTATGAAAGCGGCTGGCTTAGGCCCCTCAGGCTTCTTCGGATGGACCACGTCCCGAATACTTGCAGAATATTGGCAACTATTGAGTAACTATTAGATTGGATCCGTCAGCTGTTTTCCCACCAACCAGCAAAAAGCGAAAATATGTGGGAAGGGGCTAAGAGCCATCAAGATTGTGCTTCTCGGAGAAGGGTCCCGCCCTAAGCAACAAGAAGCTTTTAGGGGAATAAAACCAGCTTTCGTATTTGTTCTGGCTGTTTTAAGACAGGGTTGATGAAGTATGCACACTTTGCTCATACATAATATACAGAATTGTCCGAGCAAATTATGAGCAAATCGGAGGTTGGCACCAGCCAGATAAATGTGGACCATCTTTGTTCTCATCCAGTCAGTTGCATGTCTGAAATGGCCAACACTTAAAACATTTGGTTACCCGGTTACCCGTTGGAAAGGGTTGGCCAGCCATCATATGAATCCTTTGTGTAAACAAATGTGGTGATCGACTGTACGGTAGGTAGGTAGGTAGGTAGGTAGGTAGGTAGGTAGGTAGGTAGGTAGGTAGGTAGGTAGGTAGGTAGGGAGCCAGGAAGAGCCAAAAGCAAGTTGCCATGGTTTGTGGTAGGTTGACTTGCAACTTTGTGAGCATCGACCGTAGAAACCGGATCCCCTGGAACTTGTGGAGTTCAGGGTGGTTCCTGGATTCCTGGTGCTCTTTCTCAAATCAGAAAACAAGGGCCCACCCAGATTCCTCCTCAACAAGAACCAGGGGCGTACACAATTTCCCAAAGAGCCACCCGAGTTCCCCATTAGGAACTAGGGTTGCTCCGAGCCTCGAATCAATGACCAAGCAAGAAGAGTTGGACCCAAATTCCTCAGCAACCAGGCGCCCGCACAAATTCCCTGATAAAAGCTGATGCGCTGACCCGAATTGTCCATTTTTTAGAAACTTCATAATTCCGTTTCGACGTGCTCAGAGCCCGACATGCACAAACGTTCCAGGACATTGTTCTTTTGGAGACCCTTCAGAGGATCAGGCAAACTTCGATTTGCGTGCTGGAACCAAGGGATCTCTGTTTCCACTTGATCTCCGTGTGAAGCCCTCGCTCGCGCCTGCCTTTGCCTTGCCGAGGTTCAGCAAGGCAGCCAACAGCTCCAGCAGTAGTACCACGTCTGTGGGGGACGGCAACTATGAGACCCCGGAGCAGACCCAGGCTTGACCTCACTCCCTGAGTTCCTGGACTTTGCACTTTTTGGGAAGACAGTTCTAGAGGCAAACAAGAAGTCTAGTCTTTGCTTGGCTACTCCCCTCAGGAAGTGAATGATTCAAGTAGAACCTGGGTTTTGAGCAACCTTGTTTTAGGTGTCCCTTCAATGGGGACCTGTATAGCGGACAGCGGGTGTCTTAAGGCATCACTGAATCACATTTTGGGCAAGGGCCAGTGTTGTGGGCGAGATTCCTTGAAGTGAGGTGATGTTGAGGGGCAAGCCTTGCGAACCCTGAGTTACAGATTCCCCATGTGGAGTTTTCAAGGCTCTAAGGCACCCTTTGGAGGTACCAAATGAACCCTTTCAAACCAAAGGGCACCACGGGATCCAAAAAGAACCTGCATGAGGTTTGGTCAAAATTGCTGGTTTTCACTTAAGATCGACATGGGACTCGCTGAATTTCAACTTGAAATGCCAGGGACTCAGACCACGCTCCATGTATTGTAATTGTGGTTTCCCTCGAGGGGACGTGGTGGTTTTCTCAGCGGCCGCCGTGGCTTTGGTGTCCGCACATGGTGGTCGAAAAACCGGCCCAAAGAAATCCCTTGAAGATAATGCAAGTAGTCAGTAGTCATGGGGATGGGAGTCAATCACTTTGGTATCACAGAAACTCATTGAGTTTCTGCATTTGTACCTTTTGGGTGTGGACCATTTTGGTGGCAGGCAAAAGTCAAGTCTTATTCACACGGAAAGTGAGTTTGGGGAGGAGGGGGTCACCCAGTAGAAGTGTGGCTGATTGGGAAACCTTGCCCGTTTTAGTTTCAGTAGTGCTGTCTATGGAATGACATGCCGCTGGTTTCAAGCTGGTTCTAATCATTCAGTGCCCTTGATGGTTCCCAAAGGACACCTGACTTTCCCTCAAGAGCGCGGGGGAGGGCATATCTCCCCACCTATATGATATCCACTCAAGGGCCCCAAATATTCATACAAACCCACATGTTTCCCGCAGGAGGCTGGGCAGACGACCAGCTCCGTGGGCGAAGAGAACCGCTCCGGGGGCTTGCCCAGCATCGGACAGGCCTACGGGAAGCAGGGACTTGGACCATGGCATTCGGCGGAAAGACGCGATAGGAGGCCTTCATGCTTCTTGCGGCTTAATTTTTCCATCTAAGCTACAAAAGTAGAACTTGGAACAGCGGGCAACAGCCATCAAGTTCGGGCTCTATGTTGGGGCCATCCATTAGACTATTTGGAGTCTTCATCACGCCGAGTAAATCATGGCGATGTGGCAGGGTTCGACGTACGTGACAGTGCGATAGATGAGTTTTTAGACCATTGGAGACCTGGAGTCTATGACCTCTTGGACACGGGGACGACAGTACTAGTCTGAGGGTCTCCACCAGTTTTTGTTGTTCTTGTTTTAAAGGTAGACTTAATATGGCACCTGATTCTTACAATACTGTTTTCTGTTTTCTGTGCACTCCAGATGTGGGCCAAGTCGTGACTAGTGGAAAGGGGCAGGGTCCAAGTTGCCAACTGTCGCATGCGTTGCGCCAAAGTATCGCAGGCGCGGCGCAAGGCGGGCGCCGCAGAGGAGGAGGCGCCGAGCCAGGTGCGCTTCGCGTGTGGATTGAAGCGATGTGTTTGGGCGCACAGTTCAAGGTTAGGCTTTGGCCGAATCGCTCCTTAGACCTTTTGGAAATATATGTCTTGTCCATCAAGCCTGCAACAGTGACATACACACAATATATATATATATAATATACACGTATCACAAGCTTCGGAACATATGCGTATGTATATAGATACATATCACCTATCTACATAGCTATTCATGCGCATGTCGCGCCCCCCGCAATCGTCAGGTGCTTCCTCCCATCGGCGGCCTCAAAAGCTTCCTGGCCAAAGCCATGACATCAGCAATTGTTTGTTTACCTGTTGCCTATTGGAGTCTCTTCCTCAGCTAGTTCATATTTTGGAGTAGACTTCATACGGAACAGAATCTGAACTTTGGGTACCCCAAATATGGGCCTAACAGAGGGCTAGAAAAGTTCGGCAATTGGTGGAATTCACAGTTGGGGCCTAATTATGAATGCTGCTGTTTTAACTGTGGGCCTGTGCTTTTCACGGGGCCTGTAGGGGAAGGGAGGGAAGGGAGGAGGGAGCCCAAAGAAGGCACTTCCGCAGTGGGACCTTCTAAGACATAGTTTTTCTAAGACTAGCACTTCCGCATGTTGTTGGTGGACCAGAGTTTGAAACACCAGTCCCAAATTGTGTACCAACCACACCCACTATGGGTGTGTGTGTGCAACTAGGGGGCCACCAAAATGCTGTGTTTATTGTGATTTACCTTTGCAGCAAGCTCAAAAGGGTACCAACTCCAGAAGGCGCACGCTGGTTTTTCAGTGTATGCGTCTCAAAACCCGAGGAACCACTGGCCGCACCAACGTGAAGCCGCAGACCTTCAAGACTGCAGCCAATGCGGCCTTGTGCCTCGGCGCAGTTCGGTTCAGTCGCCTCCGGTTCGATGAAAGACTGATTTGTCTGATCACTTCGAACGGGTTAACACGTTCCGCACCATTCGAGTGTCGATGGGCTTCTATTTGGCTGCTTTTGACAAGTTAGTTACATCTCATCTTGGAACTGGGAAAACAAGTACCAAGGAAGATTATTAAGATAAAAGATGACATCGAAAGAGCCCAAATGCTACCCCTTTCCACTCCTTCCTCCAGGCGATTCCAGATGATGCAAGACTATAGGATCTGACAATAATTAGTACGTGATCCCAGATAGAATCGCCTGGTTACAAAGAAATATAAACGATTAAGTGAGGAAAGAAGAGGCTTGACCACAGGGAATGAGCCTTGAATCAATTCTGTTTCTATCACACACACACACACATGCGAGAACCAAAGAAAGAGATATGAATGCAGCGCTTGGACTGATCTCTAAGCCAGAAGGCAACTCAAGACATCTTAAATCAGCGCCAGATGCAACCATTTTATTGGTGCGGGCTCAGAAGGGAATACGGTGGCTTCTTTCATTGTCATTTTCGTGTTAGGATTATCTTGGCCAGTTCGGTCTGTCATGGATTTCCTTCAAGATGCGATATCCTTGAACTAGCGACAGACAATAAAGCATTAAAACATGATGGCGAAGACTCTTTCCTAACTTTTTGCTTCTATAATCGTTAGCATTATATTGATTCGCCCGACTCCATGGGTCCCTCCCAGTTTTTCAGCGACAGCTTGGGGGAGACCAGATCTGCAAAGTTTCAAGATGGACTCCCATTATTAGTAGGAGTTTCGAGAAGGATAAGGGTCCTTTGGCCGCTTTTGTGTCACGAGATTTATTGCACCTTGGGATTATGAGTGCGCTCAGGCAGTCATCCAATCAGATGCATGGGTCTGGCAAGAACGCGTCCAAGACAAGCGGCTTGGCAAAGATTCAGGAGACGTTTGACCCCGCCTGACGCTGAAGCTCATGAGCTTCTTTGGGGTCAGCCTGGGAAAGAAAGATCGCTAGAGCAAAGGGAGAGTCAACCTTAGAAACACTCACACAAGCGTCCCCAACCAAACGAGGCTTGCGTTTCCCTTTGGTTGCTCTTTGAAGAATCATACCCTCTAAAACAGGTACGTCCATTGTGGGATTTTGCTATTAGACAATTGTGTTGAATCTGTGGCTCACAAGCAGTTCAGAAATTGTCATGGAACCCAGAAAGGGTCTTGCAAAAGGATGCCCTACACATGAATGGGTTTATCCAAGGTGAATCAGACTCTGAACATATTATTGTCCACATGCCCCAGATGTGGGCCAAAATAAGGGCGTCAACTAGAATTAAGGGCCCAACTGATTGGGGAGCTTCTGGTTTCCTCGGAGTAACACGACCAGACGGCAGGCAGCAACTTCAAAGAGGCAGCCCGCGGCAGTGGCACGAAGTCCTTCTTCGGTGCACGGAAGCCCAGCGAGGTCCGAATTCCGGCTCTCAGATTATGCGCACATGGAGCTTCTCAAATGGATGCGTCCATGGAGATATATCATGTTACGTTCCAGACATGCCTAACATCATTTGCGTGGGGGGTGCTTCCAAAGAAAATTGATATGCATAAAATGTGGTTGCTCCCTTTCTAAATAGTTTATGCCATTCAGCTTTGTTATTATAAACTAGATTATACGGTCCACCATGTATTAAGTATACATCATCTGTTGGGTACATACATGTTTATGTTATGCACATGTATACACATGTACAGTAATGTAAATGGGTGCTAACTTGACAAATGGTTACTCTTGAAACACGGTTTACATAATATGCAAGCATGTGTTACATCATGTCTTTTCTTAAATGTGGTTTAATGTGACACAAGTTCAAGTTTGTATTATTGCGTCGCAGTCAATATCATTTAAGCCACATAAAATCACTTGGTTAACTGTTTTCTGCGTGTTGCGGCAGTTTACACAATGGGAGAAATCGGTCGCCGGGTTTTGGACATGTGGTCCCCCCAACTGCGGCCGCAAATTATAGGGATGCCGGGATGCCCCCTCGACCACAACATACGCAACTTGACCCATTAAAAAGCGCCACAACATACGCAACTTGACCCATTAAAAAGCGGCACGAACACGCCTCTGAGGGGAAACGATCCTGTCCTTGTTGTTTATCATGGGGCAACTGAAGGATGAGTCACCCCCTTTTTCTTCGGGCCCCTTTTACAAAACCAACCAAGGATATCCATGATGCTCCACGTCCATTGCAATGAGGAAGAACCCTGGGGTCGCATCCTTGGGATCACTGGAGTTCAGGTTCCAAGGGAGGAAACCTCTAGGTAGCCACTCACCCCAATCCGCCAACCTCACACCTCCGCGGCTCAGGCCGGCAAGGCCCACGGGGACATGTCCGTCACAGCCTCCGGGTGGGCAGCAGAGCCCGGCAGCGCCTTGGGAGATGTGGGGAGATCAGTGTGTTTTGTGAACTTGAAGGCTGACCTGCGGAGCAAGTCCAGTGGAGCGGCGCTGAACAGCCCGCAATTTCTGATTTGTTCAGAGGGATCCTAAAATAGCATATCAATCGGAAAATGTAGTTGTTTCTGGATCCTGGAAGGTGAAGTCCGGATTCATCGGGAGGACCATACGAATTAGTCAGAGGTGTCCCACTAAAACTGAATTGATTCCCCACCAAATGGCCAGCAGCCCGTGAATAGTTTGGCTTTTCATAGCTGACATTAAGGGCTTCAACAGTTCGACTCGGGCTGAGTACTTTAACACCAAATTGAGACATGGAATAAAAGCAGAGCTTCCAGTTCAAACCTAGAGGGAAGTATGCCCGTTTTCCCGTCATCGCGGTAGCTAGCTGGAGTCACTGGGAAGGAGTAAACGATTCGTAATTCTTTGGTAACATGGAGAGTACCTGACCTCCAGTTGAATTTTCCTGATAGCAGCACATCCATTGCATCCCACTGTGTGTTGCATGGGGGTGGAGTAGGGCACTAGTCTCAGCTCTTGATATTCCACAGAAGACAGATGAGCTTGGTGGTTCCTTGTTCACAGCCCCGATTCCCGTGTTGCAAGTTTGCCGGATGGTTTTGTACATCATACACCGTGGGACTATACATTTGCAAATTGAGCAACAATGGCACGAGATGACATATGTGTGTGTGTACTTAGATTCCTGGGTTATTCAGCGATTACTGTGGGTGCACAATTAAATGTGTTGTTACCTTCATGTCCTGTTGGATGCTCCAGGAGCTGATGTTCAGGGGGCCACGCAGACAGTCGGACCCCCCCGCCCTCGTTTTTGGACGGCGGGCTTGTTCGGGGCATGCCGCCCAGGTGCGCGGTCTGGGCACGCAGCGGCTCGGCATTTCCTTCCACGGATCCAAATATCCTTGGACGATGCTGTTCTCTGCACCTTCAAAACTATGTCATATGTTTGCCGGTATATAGACTAAATATGAAACATGATCTGAAAATATGCATGTTTTTTTTTGGTTGTTGTTTTTTTGTACCCCTGTTTTGGGGCCCAAGTTTCGGGGCTAAAGTACATTAGTAGGTACTTGGACTTGCAGCCTACGGTTTATCCGGGTATCCCAAGCAGTTTTGTTAGATGGGTGAACCTTAGCAGCCCCCAAAGTAAGGGTGTCTTACGGAACAGTTTTGAGAGATGACATAGTTCATTTCATTGTTTTGCGCTGCTTTCAAAGGGATATTGGGCTTTGAGCACATGGGAGTTTCCAGAGTGAAGCCCCTGTTACGCAGCTTGCGCTGCCTGTGAATTCTTGCTTCTTCTTTTGTTAGGATGTGGTTTGCCCTTTTCGACATAGAACAAAGGTGCCACCTTGGTTGCATAGGAAAGATGCGCTTGCAAGGCTGGTGGCCACCGAAATGAGACCTCGTCAGGACTATGTTTGTCCCTTCCGGCCGAATCAACGGAGATAACCCTTTCAGAGCATGAGAAAGTCGACATTTTTTGTGCGCGTATTGACTGGTGCCACCCTTGTGTTCAAGTCAACCGGTGGCTGGTGGCGCCCTTGTTCGATTTTTGCGGGGGGTCGCTTTCCCTCTCATTATAGCTTACAGCATGTGTCAGCTGGAACAGGAAACTTGTAAGCATTATATTGACATAGCATCGATCCTGTTCTCAAGGTAGGGGGCGCCCAGGTTGCGAGCATGGGCTCCACGTGGGCTCCGCAAAGGCCTGAAAGCTGCTCCCACAAAACAGGGACCCCCCCCTCACCCAGAAGTGGGGGATTCACAGGGAGCTCCGCATATGAGGAGTGCCTGTTGTCCACGGGATGGGTTCAGTCATGTTTGGTAGGTTGTGCTTTAAAGGGAAACCACCCTGTGTAGGTTACTCTATTTTGAGATGAGCCAAGTACAATTTCTGATATATATATATATTAGGTGTGGGTCAAGAAATTATGTTCAGTTTGTCTGGAGTGGGAGGCTTCGAGAGGGCAGCTACGCTGTCAAAGCCCCGATGAACAAAATGAGAGATTTTGTGGGAACCATGCAAAAGGCTGGTTTCGAGGCATAATCCTTGTATACTTCAAGGTTTCCAAAACCGGTTCTACTCCCAGGTTTCCTTGGGGCAAGGCTATGGGTTTGGGCATGAGAGCTTCTTGTTTAGGGGTCAAACTACTTGGACCCTTAGGACACTTCAGTGGGCCCCATGATCAAGCTTCCATGGCTTCCAATAAGTCTAGTTTTGCCTGGTGGAAATGTTTCCCGAGGTCACTACTCGCGGCATTCTTAAGTTGCGGCAAACCTCTTGACATGGGTATGCGTCACGATGGGGGGACTCTGAGACCCCCAAATGGCGGTTGCCCTTTCTGTTTGTTTTTAGCCCAACCTTAAAAAGAGTTCGTCTAAAACACTCACACAGACACACAGACACATATTGCAAACACACACACACACACACACTCAACATGGCAGACAACTCCGGGAATTTGTAGGTACCTGGAGGCTCGAAGAGGCTTACAGGAGGGGGTAATAAAACTTGGAGGTTTTAGGGAAAAACCAGTACCCTGGTTGGTACAACAATCAAAGTGGACGATTGAAGGCGTTTGGAAGACTACCATCCTCTTGAAAGGGTCCCAAACGTCCACTGTCATTATTGTTGGAAATTGTATACATTGTGCTGCCCAGACGATGCGAAGTGCTACAGGCATGAATGAAAAGAGTGCTTCGTGGGCGATTGCCTTGAGAGCGATCATACTTTTGATTTGACCTTGAATTCCCTTAGTGAGCTATAGAAATCTTGTTGTTTGTTTGATAAGAGATCATAAGCGCAGGTGAAGGGCAGCTGCGTAGACGAGTAGACGAGTTGGGACCTCCCATACATGATAATGATTGGGGATGTAGACAGTTCCTTCTCTCCAGCGACAAGACTTCAGCTTGGAAGACCATGATGGGACACGCGCAAACATACTTGGCTTGTCAGGAAGTGAACGATTTTAATGGTTCTTTTGAACGCATGAAGATGCCACAAGTAGTGCTGCTGCTCAACATTCCATATGTTTGTAGATGGGTGCATTCGCATACGTAACATCTCATCTGCAACTATTCAGCGTCGCTATGTCTTGTGTCTTGCAATGCCAGGCGACGCTGATCATGTTCATGATTGTGAACGCCTCCCACGAAGCTTGGACACGATGTTGCCATGAATGGCCTAATTGTCCATAGGCACCTCGTATGTTTTCCTAGTGGAGAAGGTTGTCAATACTTTCTTTTTTTTAGAGGGGGGAGGAGAACAGGGCGGAGGTGTGTTCCAAAAAAATCCCAAAGGCCCATGAGCAAGTGAACAGTGTTTTGGCCTTGCACGTGTCTGCTGTTGCATACAGTAAAATGAACACATGCTTCTAAGAGCCATACATGTGGGCGAAGAGGGTTTTGCAAGACGGTATTCTTGAAAAGACCTCCGGTGCACTTCCATGCTTGTTGGAGAAAGGGGCATGGCGGTCCGTCCCGTTGCTAGACTGAAATGACCTTTTTCCCCTTTTGACTATATGAAGGGGGGTCCTTCATGGTCCTTTTGAGGTATAAAGCGTGCACTGGTTGGAAGGGGTGGGATCTGTTTGGCGAAGATTGCGGATTGATACGCCTAGGATACCCTTATGAGATGCTATGGGAGGCCCTTATACTATGAGAGGCCCTTATATAACAAGGCCCTCGTCCGGGTTCATGAGGCCTTAAAAGGCGACCCCATGCGCTTGCACAAGGGGGCTATGATCGACCCCTGAGGTAATGTAGGGAAATGGGTGTGTACCCACAAAGGGACATGAATGGACCCTTCCCCGCAACGAGTTGACCCCTCCACAGTAAAACTGGTTGATTGATGGGGCGCAACTCCCCGCAGTGATCCGGATCTGTAAAAGGGGACACCTCAAGGGACACCCTTGATCAAAGTCAACCAGGGTTTGAATTTGAATTGGTTCTTTGAGCTGAACCACAACTTGGCTGTTTGGGGCCAGGGTTGGGCAACATTGGTTTTGCACAAACGGACCATGACCCACATTGAATAAGAAGCAAACAGGAGCTTGTTTAAATCCTTTGTGATTTGAACATGTTTGAACCACGGGTTGGCCCACTGAGTATTTCAATCCCCAGAGCCCCGTTTTTTTGCTCTGGGGACTAGAGCAATGGCATGGAGACTCAAAACCTCTCCCATCTCTCCCCATCGACGGAGTGCTGTACTGATGGAGTTCTTGTGCCGACCCGACCCTGAACCCAATGCCGAAGTTGAGACAACTTCCTCGCAAGGACTTGCTTGTTATTGGGGGCTTGTCGCAATTACCCCTACCTCCCAATCGGCGCGGAGGGTAGACTAAATAGAAAGATGACATCTTGTGTTTGCAGTACCGTACCCCAGATGTGCCAAGATTTGCCACAAGCTTGTCCGTGTGTCGACATACATTAATACATATATATATATATATGTATACATTTACATAGAACATGTTTTGTGGAACCCTGTTCCAATCCAGAGCGCGCTTGCCTCGAGCCTCGAGGACGTGTCGAGCCTGCTCTTGTAGACTGTTTCAAATGTCATATTCCAAAGCCTTCCACATGTGAAAGGCCAACAACGGTCCAGGAAGGCTATGTTGTATCCAAAGTCCGTTTCACCAACGTTGGCCCCGGCACACATGTCCCTCTTCCGCGTTGTTCTGTCCGTGAAGAACAACGCTCTCGAACAGCATTGCTTGTGCGACCGTCCACTTTTTCTGTCGGTTTACGCGTTCTGCGGCGCGGTGTTTTTTTTTCTTGCGGGGCCAGCCGAGTAGTCGTTTGGGCCGTCTGCCAAGCAGAGTTACGGGCCACACCCTCGATGGCATCTGGGACGCCCTTGGCGAGCTGTTCCATTGTCACTTCGTTGTTTGTGAGTGACACCGTGTTCTACTTCCAGGGTTTTAGTGTAAAAGTGAGTTTGGGTGGGGGCATTGGCTTCCACGGGTGCAGCTGTCATCAAGTTTCTTCAGTTCTTCCAGGGGCAACCTTCAGGCTGCCTCGAGCCAAGAAACCCATTCTGGATTTGTTATACAAATACTGTATATTTGCACACCTTCCAGGAGTTTCTTCTTGACTCCCTTGCTTTGAGAGCAAGCCCAATACTATTTTCTAATGGGTCCCGGTGGTTTCTTCGGATGCATGGGAAGCCTTGGGCACCAGAGCAAACACCAGAGTCCGGAGTCCCGAAGCAGAAATTGTTAGGATCGCTATGTTGAAAAGATGAATGCGACAGCCAGTTTGCTGGGCGTCGATTCTTGGGAATTATTGCATGACAGCAAGTGCTTCCAGTTACCAGTATAGTTAGGCAACTAGGGTTTATTACCTCTAGCGTTTACATGATGGTTTCCCTGGTTACCTACTATAGTGGCAACTGGAAGCACTGGGACAAGAATTGCCAGACTTAGCGTGCCTTTAGTTTGCTCTATTGCATTTCCATCATGTTTGCTTTCTTGTTACTGGAGCACTGGTCAACACCAAATGGGCTTCAACTCCCCTTTGCACCCTCAACAAAAGCCCTCCTCGCGGTGCTTGGAGACTGGTGAATGGTTGAGTCCCGACTGAGTGCAGCCGCTCTTTACGTGGTTTTGGGAAGACCCGTACAATTCTGGTTTTGACTGTGTGGGATGCGAGCAGGGGAGAATCATACTGAAGTAACTATCAATGTTTGTAGTTCTGCATCATCGGTTTTGCAGATGGAGGAAATGTGTGTTTTGGTGTTTCTCGATGTTGCTAAATTTGTCGGGCAAGTATTGGCTGTGACGCCGAAACTTACTGCGATGCAACTGACAAGCCTGCTTGAAAGGCATGACAATAGCCAACCACATTGATTGGATGAAAGGCCGGAGTCAACGCAGGAGGGTGACTACGATCGCTGGTGCATTGTGTCTCCTGAGGGTGTTTGGATGTCCAGAGGAGCCACCACTTCAAGGAAGCAGCTAGTGGCAAAGTCGAATTCGCACGGCGGAGTTGCTTATGACACTGTTTGCACAGCAATCTCTGCATCTGCGGCTTGCCCATAGATCCACACCTGGGGGACGCCCAAAGCGAGCAAACTCGACCTGAACCATGACTATATGACGTTTACTTGGAGTTAATTTGATTAATACACCTTGCAGATTCTAGGGGCCAATTGCTGTGTGTCGACAACATGACTTTTGTTTAAGAACCTGGAATTGCAATCAATATCTCGCACAAATCATCCGGGCTCCTCTTAAATAGCACTTATCCCGGATCAAACATCAACCAATTCTGCTTCTTGGGCTTCCATTCACTCAGGAAGGCCCAACGTGGTTCGCAAAAACGAGTTTGAGCTAGCACTAAGGAACAAGCATGTGTGTGGCCTAGAACCCCTGTTTAGGGTTAGCCTTGTTTTTAGATTGAGCTAATGCTTTGCTAATATCAGTTGGACAAAGTCCTGCACCGGTGGGTTTCTCCCAATATGCGTCGGGTTTCATCCATTCTTGGTATCAGTCTCCGACTTATTGGGCCCAAGTCTCGCTGATCTGCTTGTTTGCTATTTATTGCTATTTAGTAGGGATCTTTACTCTTTATATAACTGTTTCGCAAACTGTATATTTCTCCGCAACCAAGAACCAGTTATACTTGGGCAATAGGAACAGAGCTTGATACATCGCGATCTTTGCGGGTGCTCGGAGTTGGGCTCCCCCGCGTCTATGAGATGCAACATTCCACTGCGCTCTTCCCGCGCTTTCTGTGAATATCGAATCAGTGGAGTGATCGCACGCATGCTGACATCTGTTTAACCTGGCTCTTGGATGGAAACAGTCCAGTTCCGCCCGCTGAGTCTAGAGAATGTCAACTTGGCAGTAGTCCGGACGACAACAAACATGAGGGTTCCTCATGTAGAAGCTTGATCCATGCATGGGGATCTCTCCGACTAGCATAGCCCTCCAGAATACGAAGTTGAGATTCACAAGTTTGCGTGCGCGAGCGAGGGTGAAAGGCAAACCATTGCCCAGTTACCGTGAGAGAAACCATTGGCTACATATATATATATATGCTACGATTCTTCAAGGCTGCCTAAAGACACGCAACACAATCCATTGATTTGCTCTCCTGGAGCAAACGTGGTGTAAAAATGGGTGTTGGATCAATATTCCCGTCCTGGAAATCTGCAACTTTTCCTATGTGTGTGAAGGTCATTTGTTTGGGCAAGGTCATCCCATGACCTTTTGATCAGCCCCACCGAATTACCAGTGTTTCTTCTTCAAGCCCTGCGCCCAGAGACCGCAGGCCAACACAGGAGCCTCACGGGCGAGTGGCGAGGGTCGTTGTGTGATAGACAAATAATCGAGTCCCCCCTAAGGAATGTCTGGAAGGGGGCAGTATACCCCAAATATAGAACCCCTTCAGATACATGGTTCCTTTGTGGGAACCACGAACATGTGTAGGGGAGCTCAAAACCAGCACCTACTATGCCCGTATGGCCTTCAAGGGCTCAGCAATGCAATGGTTGCAATGCAGCCTTGCAAAGAGTGTTTTTTAGAAAAGGACCAGTTTGGCAGCGAAAACATGTTTTCCAGATGTGTTGGATGCATCCGAGGAATTCCTATTTATGATACCCGACACAGTGGGCACACCCGGCTGCGTCATAGCCGACTTCGTTTTGCCGGCCAGGCGTTTGTCCATATCTGTGGCCCCCAATGCGAAGGTGGTCACGCTTTCGCAGCCCTTGCCGAGTGTAGGCAGGGCTCATGGGTCTGTTTGTTTCTCGGGTTTTCAGTGGCACCCTGTTTCCCTTCTTGCTCTGGAAGCAGCTGTACTGGCGCAAAGTTGTGCCTTTTCAAGGCATCGGGATTGGTACTGAAGCGCTGCAGGACCTTTTCCCTTGGTGGGTTCCGACAAAAAAAGAGAGCAACCGCAGCCCATTGTTTCACCAGGTTCACACGGCAACTGCTTTTGTTACGATAGTGTTAACATCGGACAGGGCCGAAGGAGCATTTGTAGTTAGTCCTCCGGATGAATCTGAAATTGAACCTTTGTTTGAACGTTCCAACAACAACTATTTGTTGATACGTCTCTCTCGAATTTGAGAGAATCTCACACAAAGCAAATATCATTTTGTTTGCGTCCACTCAATTC